TGCCAGCAGGATCGAGGAGAGCCACATTTCTCCTCCACAGCTGGCCATTACTCCCTTTCCCGAAGGCAGTAGGAGCGGTGGTCAGAAATGGCCACCTCAAAGAAGAACTCAACCAGAAAAGAACGTGCAGGAGGAAGATAAGACCGGGTGACCGGGTTAAGTTGAAAAAGCAACAACTAAGGTACCCTGGAATTTAAATTTTACAAAAAATAACATCGCTCCCAAAGAAGAGTTGGAAGCAGCTAAGGAAAGTGAAAAGGGAAAGGTTTGGCTTTTTTTTCTTCTCTCTCCTTCCTTATATTGACAACTAAGAGACCTAAATAAGAAATCAGAAAAATCTGCTTTGGCATCAATAGGCAATTAAGCTGAAAATATAACTAAATGCCAGAGGGACAATAAAGATTTCTGGACATTAAAAACTTTTTCTTCTATAAGCAGGAAGGGAGAGAAAAAGAATAAAGGCAGGATCTGGAAAAGGGAGGAGACTGCCTGGACTTTAAAAGAATCTAAAGTAAAATTTAACTGAAACTTTGCAACTAAATAGTAACCCCAGGAAGAGAAAGTGAAAAAAAAACAAAGAGTAAAAAGAAACAGCTTGTGTGTATTTGGATTACTTGGTGACTTTTGGATTTTTGGTTATTATATTTGAATGACTAAAACTAATTGGGTGGTTGTTTAAATTTTTTATGATAGCATCACTTCTGGATGAATTGAAAATAGAACTTAAAAAGTACAAAGAAGATGCACAAGAAGGGAAGGGTTCTTTTGGCTTCGTTTTTCAATTTTTAGAAATGGAGATCTGGAACTATGAGAAACAACAAGAAAAGACTCCAAAACAAGAAGACTGGGACAAAGAAGAAGCCATCTTTAATGAACAAGTAACTCTATGTGAGGAAGAAAAAGGAAAGGGGGGAAAGAGAATGGAGAATTTAAGACTTAAAAAAACAACCAAAGAAAAGAAAAATAATTCAAAAAATAAGTATAATACTGGAAAGCAACAGAAAAGGGGAATACGGAAGAGGGAAATAGAGGTAGAGAGACAAAGGGGTAAAAGGGGGAGAGAGAAGAAGAGAGGGAAGAAGGAAAGGAAAAAAAGTCACAAAGGTCCGGAGCAAATATAAAGAAAGAGGACCTATTTAGAGATAATGGGTGAAAATCTAACTGAAAAAGGGATTCTGTAAAGGTACATAAGATTGTATTGTTATACTTGAAATAGAAATAACTTTAGAAAATTGGAAACAACATATGATTAGAATGAGGGACAAAATAGTGTAATTTAGTGAAATGTTTGTGAATAAAATAAATGAAATAAAATAAATGAGAAAATTGAATTAGGAAGGAACGGGAACATTTTAATTAGTCAATGTTTTATAAAATATAAGTGAAGGGGGGGAATTAACTATGGAAAGTTTATAATTGTTCCCATAGAAGTATGATATTTAATTGAAAAGTAATGTGAAAAATGTTAAGACTTTAATGAATATTAATATTAATGATAGAATTGAAATGGAATGGAATGTTGTTTTAATTATATACATTTATAATTTTTTCTTTTTTTAAGAATACAGTGTGTATTTTAAGAATGTACCAAGCAGAATCCGAATGGAAGTTGTGTATTATATTGAGTGTGATAATTTTAGGGGAAAGATACAAAGGCATCATATTCCAATCAGTAACTACAGGAGAAAGTTTGTTTAATGAGAAAAGATAATAGACAATTGAAACAGGACAGACAAAAAATATAAATATAATGATTTGAATTGAGATGAAATAAATAAAATAAAATTGAGGAAATTAAAAGAGGGGAGAAGCTATGTAGAAAATATAAAATAGTAATAAGATATGGAATAGAATATAAAAATGAGCATGAACCTGAATTTGCGTCTGTACGAAGAAATGTAACCCGGGATTATGCTGCTTTCAAAAAAGATGTTTTATTTGTATTTCTTTTCTGTGAAAACTCAAATAAAATTTACAAAAAAAAAGAAAAAGAAAATATTGCAATGTGCTGAAATGAGTAGATTGACATTTGAAATTAGAGAACAAGATGATAAACAATTTTATAAAATTTGGGATCTATTCTATCAATGGTTAGACAATAAAAAATGATAATGAAATATGTAGATTTTTAGAACATAATGAATATATAAAGATGTTTTTTATTATATCTACAAAATGATTATAGGATAAATTTGAGATGATAATATGAACCGTCATAAAACAAATTAAGTAAAATATGATTATTTCATAAAGCATGAATGAATAAAAGTATAGTCAAATGATTGGTTAATAATGTTATTAATGTATTCAATATTTGGCTGAAAATATGAGAGTATATACAATGTAATTCTAATTGAAGACTACGAAATGGAAGCACAAAACAATTTGTAAACCAACCGGCACACTGTATGTATACATATGGAAGATGGCTTGATGTTTTTATGTTTTGTTTGTTTATGTTTGTTTTAAAAACCAATAAAAATTTAAAAAAAGATTTTAATTTTAGGAGTAGTTTATCGTGTACCACTGAATCAAAGGCTTTACAGAAGTCTATGTAGATTGTGTCTATTGCTTTGCCCTGATCGAGTTGTGTAGTCCATATGTTTTTGCAGTGTAAGAGTTGCAGATTACATGATTTTTTTTTCCTAAAACCAAATTGTTTATTAGAGAGTAGGTTGTTTGTTTCTGAGTGGAGGATGATGGATTGGTTAATAATTGATTCCATGACTTTACCGGTGATGCAGCATAAGGAGATTGGTCTGTAATTTTCAACTAGGCTGGGGTCTCCCTTTTTGAAGATAGTTTTGGCAAGGAGCTGGTCCTGAAAGATTTTTCAAAGATTATGCTTAGAGGTTCGGCTATGGCAGTGGGTATCTTTTTTAAGAAGTAGGCACATATTCCATCCAGTCCAATAGATAGATTTTGGCAAAAGGAATTTTTTTAAAGAAGAGTCCTTCTTCCAAATTTTAATGCTGGAACAAGATTCAGTAGGACAGGCATTTCCTTTTAAAATATAAAATTAGCATTTATAAATGTGGACGAGAAAAGCCAGTAAAAAGCAAAATATTAAATATGCACTTATAGTATATTTTTGGCTCAGTATTGACCAAACTCCACACAAGCAATTGATACCTACAGGATATAAGAATAGAGATCCTAAGAATTGTTGCATAAGTATCCAATGCAAAATTAATTGCCTAGCTCTGTTATAGCACAAAGAGGATTTATGATGTTGCAGGATATTGATAACAATATAAATAATTGTTAATAGAACTAGAGAAGTATAATTATTGACTTCAATCTGGGTTTTTCATATAATTGCCTACTGAAGCTTCTTCTTCCTTTTTTGTTGCAAAATTTATAAATGCTCATTGCACTTGAAAGAATGATGTTCTCTGGCTTCTCAGCTATTATTTCTAGTATTGAAAGCTCTGATCACTGAAATCAGTGGCTTTATTCTTCAATAGCAACCATCTTTCTCATTTTTCCTGTAACTTGTCCATCTTGCACTGATCCCACACTGGCCTCTATGCACTTGGTGAAATGTTCATTTTTTCCCCCTATGGAGTGCTGATTCCTGTAAAAAGAAGGGCTGGAATGTGTTTAAATTTTATTACTTTATTTCTACAGTAGAAATAAAGAACTATTACTGAGTAAATATAAAGTAACACATTAAAAATAAGGACTCTTTAGAGATCAAGGCCTCACATGCTACATACTCATTTCTGTAAAAAGTCTAATTATGATAAAAAAAATTCTTGTTGTCCTTGTTCGGTTGCTAGTTTTCTTGCTGCCTGATTAAAATAATCGATTGTTTCAAGGTAAAGCATCAATTTGCAAATTATATTCATCTCAATATCTCCAATACAGCTAGGGCAGAAATGTTGTGAAATATTGAGGCAGTGTCTGGAGTTTGTGAGAGCTTAGATGGGATGAAACTTGAAGGATTTGGAAGTTATCTTGGACTTACTAAGGTCCATGCTATAGGCAGGAGACTTTTTTCCCAGTTTCAATTGTTCTAGCGGCAGTCCTACTTGGAGAAGGAGGCCTTTCCAGCATTGACTCACATTCTTATCAATAATACCTGTATGGATTATTGCAATGCACTTTTCATGGGAGCTGCTTCTGTGAACTACTCAGAAGCTGAAACTGATGCCAAATTTTGTGGTCCACATGGTGGAGTTTAAGAACTACCACAAACATTGTGTTATGGGCACTGCATTGATGTTCAGTGAGCTTCTAAGTGCAATTCATGGTGCTGGTTTCAAATCTACAATATTTAATTGTCAAAATCATCCTCTTTCCAAGTAGAACCTTCCCATCTGGTACAGTAAAATGATGAAACTTGGAATATCCAAGTACCACAAAGTATGGAGAAGATCCCCCAAAACATGTCCCCCCCCCCATGCCTCTTTGGGTTATGTCTACCTTCATGGTGTAAAGGAATCCTTCTACAGGGGCATTTGAAACCTATGGGACAGGATTTCTACTTTGCATTTATTGTTGCTTTATTGTGTCGATTTTTATATGACTGTAATCTAATAATAAGTCAAAGCCAATTGTATATTATATCTTCAAACTTTCAGAGCTCTTAGTTCTGGGCCATGAATAAGAAGTTTCAATTACTTTACAAACTTTTCGTCTCAGTGGTTAATGAAATAATCCATTTTTCCCATAAACTTTTGATGTGATTCAGCTTTTTAAAAAAAATATATATATCAAGACCAGCGTTCTGATCTACATCCAACCTAATATCCAGGTAGGAAAAGCTGACAACTAAAGATAATACTGCAACAAAATCTCCAAAAGAACAGCATTTTAAATACGTTCTCGAATTGAGCCAGAACGACACTTCGACCGCCAACCGTAATCATCCGCCCCTTCCGAATCTTTGAATTAGCTCCGCCTGCCTGCCTGAACACCCGCCTTAGGCTCCGCCCCCGAACACGGCGCAGCCAGTCAACGCAAGGCTATGACATCAGCGCAGGGAAGCCGACCCGGGGAAGTAACGAGAGTGAAACATCGTTGCGATTCCTTTTCCTGTCTCCGCGCTCGAAAGAGGCAGCGAGCCGGCCGCTGGGATCGGGACAGACCCGAAGAAGCGGCGGCTTATTCCGAAGAGACCCAGGGGAAGCCGAGAGAACAACTCTCTATGCTCAAACCGGAGGAAAGGAATAGCCCAGAAGAAACCGTGCCTTTAAGAAGCAGCGAGGCGGGAAGAAATTGAGTTTTGATCCGGCTGTTTTGCGCAAACTTCCTACGAGCGTGGGGACGAAGGAGAGGAAGCGGGAGGGAGAAGAGGCAGGGCGAGGCGGGCAGGGTGGAACCCGCAGTTTGGCTGTGTCCGCTTCGGACTGAACGATGCTGTCTAACTCTCAGAATCAGAACCCTCAAATACTTTTCCCCAATCCGCCACCGGCTCCGCCGCCGCCGCCGCCACACCAGCCTCCGCAGCAGCAGCAGCAGCAGCAGCTGGCCCAACAACAACAGCAGCAGCAGCAACAACAACAACAGTTTCCCCAGTTCCACCTGAAGTCTGTCCTCCCGATAAAGAAAAACGCCATCACGGATGATTACAGGGTCACCACGCAAGTGCTGGGACTGGGGATTAATGGAAAAGTTTTGGAAATCTTAAACAGGAAAACCGGGGACAAATTTGCCTTGAAGGTAAGGCTTTGTCAAATTTGATTTGAATTTACGGCCTCTTCTCTGCGTCTCTGGTTGCTCTTCGCCTTTGCGGTTTTATACTGTATTTTGGCAGGAACCGGGAGTTCTGTGTAAATGGGAACTTCCCCACTAAGCTAAAATAAATCGGACCGGTTCTGATGCATGGACCGCACTCAGGGTGTTTTGGCCACTCCTGTAGGTGATTCTATAACGGACTTGAATGTTCTCGATCGGTCCATTCCGAACCACAAAAGTTGTTCCGTGTTAGTGCGTGACGTGTGTGGGGAAGGCTGGTTGCCGTGGTGTTGTGGTTTGAACCCCCGTACGGCGAAAAGTGTGATCGGAGGCGGTCCTTTGTGGTTTAGGAGGAGTCCCACACTTAAGTGCATTCACCAGCGGAAAGTTTCTCTCTCTCTCCCTCGCCCGGCCTCTATTTAGGTGAAGGACTGCTGGAAGATGTAATCTAGTTTCCTGTCCCTTCTAACCGATACTTCCCCATTCAGCGTTGGATCGGATAGGAATTCCCCAGGGGGGAGGAAGTCCCAAAGTAAAAAACCGCAGACTCGCCGCCTTTCACGCCAAAGGGATCTGACACTCGTGGGATGGCGGGACTTTGGCATTGAATTCCCCCTCCGGGACCCCGTAACTTATTTCATGCTTCCTTCGTAGTTCCTACGCAGTTTTCCTACGTAGTAGCCGAAGGACACCCCCACCCTCCACCCCGCTCCCTTACTCATAGAAAAAAAAAGCTGCTTGAATCTCGGTTGGTTTGTCATGGAGTCTAGAATTAGGGGTCTCCAACCTTGGCAACTTTAAGCCTGGAAGGACTTCAACTCCCAGAATTCCCCAGCCTGGGGA